TGACCCAACATCAAACCTTGAGACCCCTTGTTGAGAACCACTTCTGTCCTTCCCTTTGCAATTTCAGGGAGTGAAACAACGTGCTCAGTTCTCTCTGCTTCTTGATGCCGTGGGCTTTCTTACCCCAGCTGGAGCAGGGCGTGCTGTAACTGCAGCAGCGGTACCTTTACTTTGTGCTCTTTTTGGCTCTGAATTTCTCTGTGTCTTACAAGGATCCTAGCAATTGTAGAACCCCTCCTTTCTTCATCCCCTCCCTCATGGAAGAGAGCTCTCCAGGACCTCTGCTGAGCCCCGTTACTGCTGATGGAGATCAGTTGCTTGTGTGGCTTTGCAACATTCCTGGTAGTCCTTGCAAGGTGCTGACTGCCTAATTCTCTTTTCTATTGTTAAAGCTGTCCTTAGCAGAAAATTGGAGCTTAGAAGTAGAGTGACATACAGGGAAGATATGAAAGAGTTAAAAGTAGAAGAACAAGGAAGAAGGAGAGGTGAAATAGGTGCATATACCAGCCCTTAACTGACATTTGCTGATTATGCAGAAGAAAACTTTACGTTTCTGTGTCACTTCGGGCTATTGTGGTAGCTTTAAGCGCTGGGTAGTACGCCATCAGTCTCTTTCAGACATGCAAGGGAATACTTACTCGTTGATACTATTTTTTTTCTTGAAACCCAAGTAACAAGTACGTTTTTCTGTATTATTGATCTCAGAGTTCAGTGACCCTTTCTGTGAGCCAAGTTGGGAGAACTATGCTGAATGGCGTTGGTATTGCTCAGGAGCTAACAGGTAGCTTCTGATGTCCAAGTGATTGGCATCAACGACCAGGAATATGTAACCCTGACTTCTGGTGGGAGCATGGCTGCATGTGTTTCCACTCATACAGCATCCTTGGCAAGGGAACTGTCTGTTGATTGGGCCTGTGTGGATCAGCATCTTATTATGCAGGTTTATTTCTTTGTTTTACCTGAATAAATGTTCGTATGAACTTGTAACATGCTTTGCATTATAAACACATATCTGTAGGTCTGTACAGCTGCATGTAGTACAGGAGGAGAAGGAGCTTATATCAGGATGGGGAAGAGTAGAGTGCAAGTCTCTGAAGAACACCTTCATTTCTGGAATACTTCTGTTCTTAAAGCTCACCTCAGGATCAGAAGTATTGCTGTATGTGACTACACAAACAGCTGGTGAAGCACACTATTTTCTGTGCTGAGAAAAGCTGCAAAGACAAGCAGAAAAAAAAACAAACCAAAAACACAGAAGAGATTGAGTGGAGAGGAGGTTTGGAATTGGACTCTAAAACAAACCAGAAGTTAATGCCACTGTGCTGTAGGCAGATACGTGGCTCGTGCTACACTTCCATGTGGGTTCTTGTCCATGATACACTATATTTTGTTTTAGAGCTGCCCGCGCCTCCACTTGGCTTACATGAACTAAAGTGCGTAGCGCTTGATGTAAAACTTGTCTTATATAATCATTAGTGTGCTTTTATTACAGGACTTCGGCAAGCAAGAATTCCCTTTTATAAAGAACAACTCTTTGAAAACAAACTTGTGTTACTTTTTATGCCGTTCATGTTACAAATGGAAGATTTCAACTGTTGTAAGCTTGAGATGGATGAGTAGTAGAAAATTGAAGGTATTCACAATGGCTAACTTTCTTCTACAAGCTACCTAGTCAAAACTAGTGTTTGTTTGCTTTATTAGTAATAGCTGCTAAATATATTTTAGTGAATCACAGATGTAGTGTTTGTGTGCTGTAGTGACATGTTTTTAGTAGATGCATTTTTATTAATCTTTGTGCAAACCATAGCCAAAGCAAAACTTTTAGTGGGGAAGGTGATTGCAACCAGGTGGTCACAGCTCTAGTCTATTTAGAGTATTTCCTTTTATTTGCAAATCTGTCATTGAGCCTAAAAGCTGTAACATATAATTCAAATGTACCTAACATCTTCCCCCTCACCCCAAAACTTATCCACATCACACAATACAGTAAGAAACAAGGGTTTCAGTAACGAAATGGGTTGTGATGTTTCAGTGCTGGAGGCAATTAAGTGTAGGCATGAACTTTCTTAAAGGATATCTGGTTTTTATTGGAGCTGTCTTTCTCATTAGAAGGAAATCTTCTTACATAGGCTGTTAGTATGAAGTTAAGTGAGTCTTTCCTCCTTTCTTTCACATATACGAGCTCTCTGGGTAGTCAGTTGCTCTAATAGAGACCTAACATTTGGAAACAAAGCAGGCCAAAAGAATGCAACTCTAATTTCTACTACAAATGTATATTGAAAACCCAGAACTTTGTTTTGCCACACTCCACCTTCCAGTTTGGCGTTAATCTCTTGTATTTGTTTCTTTGGACCTTCAGCCTGACTACGGAGCTGGGGTGTGCCAAGGAGGCTGAGGGATGGCTATAGGTTGTGTATGGACTCCTCAGGGATGGTGGACTGGTCAAATCTGTGAAGGTTGATATGAAATGTTTACTGGAAAACTAAAATGCCCAGTGTTAGCCTGTGGGGTTTTTCTCAAGCCACTATTAAAGCTTGCAGTTGAAGGCATTAGTTGACTTTATACAAGACTGACTCTTGGAAACTTAAAGAATGGCTGCTTGGCTGATGATGGACTTACCTCCTGGTAGCTGGTCTTGTTCTTAATACTGAAGGTGATAACCTGCTGTGAAGCACATACAAACTCCTCACAGTAGTGTGTTCTGAAACATCTTGCTGGGGAAACAGACACCCAAATGTTTCAGTGTCAGCAGCTGAAACTTTTTTGCTTGTCTAAAACTTGATTCCAGCGTGGGAGTGATTCCCAATTCTTTGGGTTTCACTTTGTATCTAAAATAATTCTTCCTGTTGCATAAAGACAAGGGGGTTGCCTGCATGCAGGCGTTTGGTACTGTTAAGTGAATTAACTAAAAGTGTGAAGATAAAGTGGATGCTTCTAAAGAATGTTAAATACTTGTGTGGATGCTCTCCATCTAGACATAAAATGGCTTTAGTTCCCTTTAGCTTAATCCTCCTTCAAAGGGGATTAAGCTAAAGGGAACACAAAGCAGATTAAAATCCTGTGTGGACATGAACATGAGTTAATTTATCTTCCCTTCTCTGAATGTCCTTCTACACCATGCCCTTCAGGATGTTTTTAGGAAGTGATGGAGCTCTTCAAATTGGTTATAACTTTAATCAAGCTTGATTAATCTGGAGTTCAGTATTTCAGAGTAGCCATCCCACTCTGTTGAAAAGGATAATACGGAGTCTCCTAACAAATAACTGCCCTTTGAAAGAATCAACAGCATGTGGAGGAAGTATCGGCTAATGATGAATACGCATACACACAGGCTTAGAACATAATGAACTTAATTATTTGTGACCATTTAATGGCAAGCTAGCATATCAAAGCTGTATTGATGTTTTCCCATAAATATAATCAGAGAATATAATCACAGGGAGGTTGAGGTTGGAAGGGATCTCTGGAGGTCATGTAGCCCACCCCCCCTGCTATAGCAGGGCCACCTACAGATGACAACCAGGGCCACCGTGTCCGGATGGCAACGTTCCCATTGTCAGGTCTTTGCAATTTGCCTCTTCTGAGCTATGCTTCTGAATCCAAAGACCCTGGGTGGATCCTTCCTCCTCACCTCAAGTGCTGGTGTACCCCATGGGGATTGACAGTTGGGTAACATGGCAGGGTCTGTGCCTTCATAGCTGTAGAAACAAGAAAGCTAAATTGTTTCCAAATAAGTTGTAGCCCATGAAATGTGTTTTTTGGGGTGTGTTATGTAATTGTGGTAGCAGTATGTGGGCTTTGGTAGCAGCTGCAATGCTAACAAACTTTAAAATAGAGCGTTTCTCATGTAGGCAGCATTTTTAAAGGTTTTCATAAGATCACAGGATAGTTTAGGCTGGGAGGGACCTCAGGAGGCCTCGGGTCCAACCTCCTGCTCACAGCTGGGTCAGCTCTGAGGCCAGACTGGGAGACTACACAGCCTCTCTGGGCAACCTGTGCCTTTACCTGCCTGTCCTCACGGGGAAAAAGCTTCTCCTTGTATCTAGGCTGACCCTTTTATGTTTCAACTTAAGCCTGTTGTCCCTTGTCTTCCTGCCCTGCACCAACGGAGCCCAGTTCCATCTCCTCCATGATCTTCCCACACGCACTGGGAGCTGCTTTTAGGTCCCCCTGAAGTTATCTCTGCTCCAGGCTGAACAAGCCCAGCTCCCTCAGCCTCTCCTTGTGGGGGTCTGTGCTCCAGCCCTACCATCTTGAGGACTTCCACTGGAATCCATCCAGTTTGTCAAAGTCTGTCTTGTATTGCTGGGGCTCAAAACTGGATGCAGTATCTAAATAAAGGCTTTCTTGACTTACTGTCAGTTCTGTACTTGGAGAAATTGTGCAGCATCAGTGCTGTATAACAGCTGATCTTGGGAAGAATTGGCAGTCCTCAGGACAGGTTCTTAAACACTTTCTATCCTGAAGGCAGGGAAGCTTTGGTTTCCTTCATCATCACTCTTCACATTTGGGGACCTGACATAAGTGTTGATTCATGTTTGTCAGGTTAACCAGCCGCTCTGCTTGGAGCTGCTGGGTGCAGAGGCAAAGCTAAAGCAGGGTGTAGGGGCTCCCTGGATCCTCAGCAGCCATGATAACAGGGTGAGCTGTGCTCCCTTCTTGCGTAGTCCTGTTTCCCCAAAGCATTAGTAGACACTGTACAGCCTTCTGTTTTAAGGGGGCAAAGGGTTTTGTAGAAATACTTTTTTGAGACCTCTGGAGTTGACTTATTCTGTGCTTCCAGTTCTGGTGCTTTGTGCGTGGTTTGTTGGCTATGACTGAAAAGCATGGTTTAACACTTACCAGGATAAAGGTTTGCAGTGTGAATGCTGCCTTTGCTTTAAAGGTGCCTTTAGGCAGTGGGAATTTGGGGTGAGGAAGTACCTTCTGTTTGGGTGATGACCTTGTCAAAACAAACTCTGCTCAAGGCTCTTATTTTGAGGCTTCTTCTTTTGCCAGGATGTTTGTCCAGGTATGCCTGTACTTCTACTGCAAATGCTTGTGGCGCTGCCTGAAATTTGTGGTCAGGAAACTAACGGGTCAATGTGAATTGCAAAGGATCTGTTACAATACCAAACCTGGAGCTGCCAGAACTATGAAAATAGGTAACTGCAAAATACTTAGTTCTGCATGCCTTTGTACCTTTTTGCATGTGCCAAAAATAGTATGACTTTGTTCTTATAAATAAATAAATGAATCCAATATAAACTTAGCTTGTCTGACATGATGCTTTCAAATACTGTTCTCTTACAGAGGCATCACTGAAAGGTTCAAAAAGTAAGGTGAGTGAAAGATCTCATCATTCACGTTTTCTGTTGTGTCCTGTGCAGTTGGTTTGTTCAGTCTGCTGTTTGCTCACCCCAAAAAGTCACTTTCAGGTTTGATATGATTTTACATTAAAACCATCCTCTACTGAAGAGAGTCTTGTGTCCACAGTAGCAGGTGATCTTGCAAAGTCAGGGAGAGTGTCCTATGCTCCAGGGACAGGCACACTGTGGCACTGTTGGAATCGAAGGGGCAACAGACCATGGTGGAGATGACGAGGTTGATGTGTGGTAACGTGGGGGTTCTTGGCTTGATTCCTCATCCTCTCTTAGAATTTCTGTAATCTGCAGTCAGTCGCTTACGCACTTTACACCTCAGGTTTCTTGTCTGAAAAGCAGGGATAAAAGAGGCTGAAGGCAGCAGTACCTGGATAGCCAAGACAACTTTGTTCTCTGCTTGCCTTTTAAATACATCAATGGAGAAGAACCTCTGTCACTTCACCCTTTCACGGTAGCGCTGGTTGTGCTAACCTAAATTCTTCTCACAAAGCATTTGTGTGTATGTTAAATAGCGTCATTCAGCTGTTCATTTCTCTTTGGCATGAGAATCGGTGATGTTGAAAAGCTTACCTCAGCATTAGCAAAAAAGATGTCACATAGCTCGTAGTTCAGCATAGTGCTTCCAAACGTACTTCCAGCACAAACAGAAAGGCAGAATCTTATTTAGAAGTTTGCATTTGAGCAGTTGTGTAGCTTTGAGACAAACCAGAAAGTTCAACCTCTTATATTTTTTGGAAGGTATGTTGATTTTTTGAATACTGAACTTCCAGGGGCATCTCTACAAAGTGCAATGACATGCAAGAGAAAGGAAAATGTTTTGCTGTGTTATTGCAGCGTATTGGGAGAGGGGACATCAAATGAAGGCTAGCAATTCCAGTGCAATTAGGCAGATGGTCTGAAGCTGCTTCTTGATCAAAGCCCTTAGTGTGGATCATCTTCACTGGCAGCTGCCACAGAAGTACGATAGACAGGCTACAAGGGTATGGTGAAGCGACTTGAGTTCTTATAGGGCTAGTGCTCTGAAACCAGTCAGTGGACTTGAATAGACTGGAAAGGTGTGTGTATATTTATTGAGTTGGGTCTTCTGGGCTCTTAATCTAGAAGCTTTTGGGTATCAAATTTACCATTGTTAACTTCTATTGAATAGCTTCCGTAAGAATTAATACGTGTTTAAAACTTCTTTTTAGCGGCTGCAAACTTCAGTAAGTGTTCACCCTGATGCTATTGAGAGAACGATAGATGACATCATGGAGCTGAAAAGGATTAATCCAGATATAAATCCACAGTAAGTTCATGGTTTTCTTAGAAAGCAAATGGGAATTATTGACTTCTTCAGTGCCTAGGTCCATGGAGAATTGGTTCTCCATGGCTATTGTGGCACACAATTTGAAGAAGAATTCTGTCTCTCAGCATAAACTCCAATTTAAGCTTTGTTGTCAAAAAGCTGATGGAAAAATGAATTATCTTTTATGGTGACTGTAATAGTCAAGTCCTAAGTCTATCTATCTAGCTGCTTCCTGAATCAGGCTGTCTTAGTATATTGTTGATGTATTGATTTACGGGGGCCACTTCCCTGGGAATAAAATACCACTAAGGCAGGTGGTCCTGGCAGCGACAGTGATGGCTTCTTAGCAAGGCTGCATGTAGTCTTTTGAGTAGGGGAGAAATCATCCTGTTGTAACCAGTATAAACGATATATTGGTTTAGGTATTAAAACTGCCTTTAATTGTCCAAACACAAGTTTTAATGATACAATGTAGCTGATATTTTTAATGCTACAAGATGTTAATGATAAGAAGATGTTGACAACAAACCATTAAATTTACAAGCATGTGTTTCAAGAGTAAGTGATAGCACTTTTGTGGTTGCCTTATCTCTCAACTCCTAGCTTAAGGCACAAGATGGTCTAGGTCAGGAATCAGTGGGAGAAATGTTGAGGGCTGTATTATTCAAGTGATCAGTCCGAGGTTTGCTCCTCTTCCCAAACTTGAAATTGATGTACTTAATCCAAAATGGGCATCTGTAAGTTGATAGCTGCTTTTGTTTAGGTGGTCAGGAGCATCAACAGGTAAGGTGGTCCCAAGGTCTTGCTGCAACAACAAAACCCAAAAGCTCAGTTGGAAAAGTATTATTTTTTTTGGTCTCATTACAGGAATGACACACACACACACACACACCCCCCACCCCGCCCTACGCCCCAGTAACTGGGTAGTCTTAAAATGAGGTTTCACTGATCATAAAGGAAATAGAGTACACTGGGTGTCACCTCTAACTTGAGAGATAACTGTTGTGGACATGACGACTGTCCACCTGGATTGAAAAAATGGTGACCCAACCATTAAAGAAGGGAAGAAAATAAGAGAAACAAACCAAACACCTCATTCTCATAGATGAGAAGCCCTGTGAAGTTTTTTGGGGAGTGGGCCTAGGGTGGACTTTTCTAGGGGTGTCTCTTTGCACAACCTTGCCCACATGACCTTCAAAGGGAGGGTGATGAAGGAGCAGCTGCTTCACGTGGATGTGAGGCCTCTCTGAGAGGCTGCCCTTCTGAGGAGGTTGTTACAGCTCTGGTACTCTTGTATTGCACAGGGTGCTGATAGCTGAAATTCAGAGAGAAAAAAAATCAGCGATGGCAAAATTAGTGAAGGTGACACATGAGGAAAAACTGCAGGATGTAAATGTGCACAGCTCAGAGCCTGGCCTGTGGACATCGGTAACTGCTGCATTAGCAATCAGTCTGATTCCATTTCTCAGTGTCGAACCCTTGGGTAACTGGATGGAATAATTCCAAGAAAAAACAGGGAATTCATTAAAATAGTATTTTGTATAACACTGGGGATCACCATCTCATTCTCCTCGTGGTATTGCCTTTGGCCTCTGAAGAAATACTGTCTTCCAGAAGAGGGAGAGAGAGCAGAGGTGCAAATGACTTCTGTTTGTTTGAATCAGGCCCCAAACCTTAAGTTAAATTTTAGGTCATCTGGTCTTAATATTAAAAAAAAAAAAAAAAAAAAAAAAAAAAAAACCAAACCAAAACAAAAAAACAACAACAACAAAAAAAACCCAAACAGAAACCCTAGAACTATTTTTTTGTTTGTTTGTTTAATCCAGGTGGTGTTCATATGCTTAACACAGAACAAATGTTTAATTGTTTTTGGACTAGAACCGTTGCACTCAACATTTTACAGGACTGAGTCCTTCATCCCCATCCCCCCTCATACTCATCCCAGTTTGGTGAAATATCTTTTCAGAATGGTGAGGAATGGGGGTCTGGGATGTGCAAGGTGGTGCCACATGCGTAGAAACACACCCTGCCACTAAATTGCTCCTTAAATTAATCATAGTTTTGCTAAACTTTAAGTATCTGCACTGAAGTTTTACATGTGATCCATTTATTTTATGCCGAACTTTTTTGGAGAAATTTCAGCAAAAGCGGGTCACCTATTTCTTTAGATAGGATTAAAGAAAATCCATTGGCTTGCCTACTCTTGGACGTAAAAAAAACTGCATCCGAACTGTGTTGTTCAGAAGCTCTGACCTTCCTTTGCATAGTAGAGACTTGAAATCTCCTGGGGTAAGGACAGGGAACACGTGTCATTCTATATGTGTTTCTACAAATCTGTATGCAGTCATTTTTGTTAATGTAGCATCTTTGCAGAGCTGAACTAGCATCCCAGGGGTGTTTGCACTGAGCTGTTCTTGAAGGCTGTGGGCTGCCGTGACCTGAACAGGAGGAGGCCCACAGTAATTTTCCTTTATCAATGCTTCCGAGATAACTGTGTATTTAGTTCTGGGAGCAAGTAGGTTGAAAAACCAGGTGGTGACATGTGCAGTCTACACTAACTATGGAAGCAGTCTGAAATACTACCCACATCCTCTGTTTGGCAAGGAGGAGAGCAAAAGCTTAACGAAAAGGAGAGTGGGGAAACTAATTCCACCTCCCATGAATAACATTGCATGGAGCATTTGACTGGCTTTATCTAAAGTGCAACTTGGAACTTAAAAATATATATATTT